AAGTTTTTCCAGTACCCTCAGGCTCACGCTCAAAAAAAAAAAAATCTTTTCAATATATTTTCAAGTATATTCTAAGATTGTCAATTCCATCATAAATTAAGATACAATAAATAATGGTAAAAGGAAAATCAGACTGATTCATATTTTATTACAGAACTAAATTTAATTATTCAGATGTTTGATTAGAATTTTTCATATCGTGCAAAACAATTTTGATTGCTTTCAATAAAGCATCAGTTATTCATAATCAAATCGCGTTTCCAGCATATCTACCTCGAGGAAAAAGGAATGCAAGAAATCAGTACCCTTCCGAGAATAATATGTAATCTTGCTTTAAATTTAAAGAAACAGAAAACTTTTAAAGAAAAGACTCTAGTTCAGAATAGGTTTCCAACTTTTAGGAAAAAAGAAGAGTAATATTTTATTTAGTTAAATTAAAATTACGTTTCACGAAATTCATATCGTATTATTATGTTAAATACTATTTAATAGGTGTTTCAATTGGTACGTAAAAGAAATGCCCTGTTATATTAGATTTCTAAATGAATAATAATTAAAAAAATAATGCCCTAAATATTACAGCCCTATGACATATAATACATTTTCCCAGTGTGATTATAAGGGTATTTCTTCGCTTTTAGACTAAGAATTGTTGAGAGTTTTAATATATTTTAGTCTTATAATTATATTTCAGAACAGATAATAATCACCCTGGTTTCGAGGTAATTGTTATTATTTCATTACTGTTATTAACGATCATTCGAAATAATACTCGTTTGTACATATTCACATAAGAAATTCGCCTCATGTTTTGAAAGAGTAACTCGTTTAGTACGATTAAAATAATACAGCATGAATATTTTTAAAATCAAAAATAAAATTACAAAACTATAATTCAGAGATGTAGATTAAGTCTCCATATGTAATTGAATGTATTTTGAAATTCGATAATGAAAAACAATTAACCCTTCTCTAACTGATTACCACCCTAACAAACAACGCATATGTGTCCTTGAAGTTTTTTGAAATAATACTCTTTGTAGTAAGTATCACTTATTTAATTCATTCGCATGATTAAGAAAATTAGAGTTGTGGAAGGATATTAGTACTATGAAAACAGTTTGGGAAATCTGTATTTATTTTTGCATCTGAAGAGGATAAATTATATAATCTTGAGGTAGAAATCAAGAAATGTGTAAAGACTATGTGTCTCCCCGATGTGCCTATGCATGATGTGTGCCATCCCGGTTATCGGCGGAGTCTCTCAAGCTTACAGCGGAAATGTTCGAGAATCTTGTAAATATGCGGGAATCCGGACGTAGAATATAGCTGTAGAAGACTAGAATAAGAATCTAAGAGTATCTCAGACATAACTTATGGCATGGAGATTTAGACAGAATATCGCATGGAATTGTTACAGTCAATTACCTATCAACCTAAAGGAGTTATAAAGTAGAATCTACTGGCCTCTACTTACATAAAGCAGGAATTTATTCCAGTTAAATTAATCACCTGTTATTCATTCATATTAGTTCTTTTTCACATGCCATAGCTAGACATATCTTACTCCTCTGTTTTGTAAACCTCAAGGATAGCAACCATTACATCATGCATACTCCTTTGGTAAACAACCAAGTTTTACATTACGCAAATACTCTCAGCATCACCAAAAACTAAACAGCAGAGTAAAATTTCTCATAATATAAAATCTGGATTTAAATACAAATAATTCATCAAGGAAAACAGAGCTTTTTGAAGAGCTGCATCTGCTAAAAAGATGTCATAGAATTGCGTCTGAGAAAGGATAAAAAAGAAATAATTTAAACATGAGAGGTTTTAAACGTTGTTGAAGATAATACTCAAATAATATTAAATAAATTAAAATCCAAATAATAACAACTACGAGGAATTTGCATTTTGCATGAGTAGGAACAAAAGTGCTCAAGCTCAGTGCTGACACAGTCAACAACTTTCTCAAACTGATACTCAAACATAGAGAAGAAACCTTTTGAAATATGGATATGAATGCGACAATTTCCACACTGAATGCTACTTTAGAAGTTCCCGAGATAAATGTATTTATACTTCCATGGTGGCAACAATTAGTTTGGAGTGTGATATTTGGAGATATGATTTTCGTTGCTAAAGGTGGCAATGTTATAGTAATGTAGATTGTGTTGGCCTCCAAAAGAATGCGAAGTGTCATAAACTACTTCTTAGGCCTACATCACACGGGCATTTGTTTCACATGAACAACTGTTTCGGATAATTTTTCTGCCTGGTTTACTATCGAAAGAAAGAAGGGAGATTTTTTCCTTCATTTCAAAAAAAAAAAAAAAAAAAAAAAAAAAAAAAAAAAAAAAAAATTGCAAGTTGTTCGTTTTCAGCCAATTAGCTATGAGCTCCGAATGCAATCAGCTTGTTTGTAATGGAGAACCAGTTTCTCCCTGTGTTAAACCCAAAGCGATCTGTGGTGTTTGGCTATTGCGACAAAGCAGAAAAATTGTTCCAAACAGTTGTTCTTTCGAAACAAACTGATGTGTGATAGCAGCCAGTTTAGCGGATACCATGGTTTCCACACCGAATGTTATCTTTATCTTATATGCTGGACGGACAGTGGCCCTTTGGAGAAGCCTATTGCAAGACATCGAACTTTATCGCTATAGTTTCCTTTGCTGCGTCAGATTTCACTCTTATGGCCATCTCCATACACAGGTGAGTAAAATTTCAATTAAGTAGTATATGTTATTATAATAATTACTTTCCTCATTTTATTTATTTCGTCCTTTCTCTATTCAAACTTGTACAAAAGTGTCTATATAATAAATTTTCAGATATATATACTAGTTGTCACAGAATTGCGTCTGAGAAAGGATAAAAAAGAAATCATTTAAACATGAGAGGTTTTAAATGTTGTTGTAAATAATGCTAAAATAATACTAAATAAATTAAAATCCAAATAATAATTACTATGAGAAATTTGCATTTGGTATGAGTAGGAACAAAAGTGCTCAAACTTAGTGCTGACACAGCCAACAACTTTATCAAACTGATACTCCAACATAGTGAAAAAATCTTTTGAAATGGTAATGATGATGCTGTAGGATGGCACCGTCCATTATAATCGGATGACTCGACAAGCTGTAAAAATAAATCTTTTACATTTTGGATGATAGAATTCAGACGATTCCGCCATATTAAAACAATGATGCGACTGAAAGATGTTTGCATGTAAAACACCAGAAAAACAACAGAGGCTGATTCTCTTCATTTGTAAATAATCTCATGTATTTCCTTCTACGTATGTAATTACTTTGTAGTAGTTATTCATGTTTAAGTCGGATTAGGTATTTCAAGCCCCTAGACATAGCCACAACGGAAGTAAGTTTGCAGACATCATACTCCTAGACAGTAAGTACCGATCCTACATTACTGATGGTAAATTTCTAGTAAGAATTATGATACAAAAGACATTTCTCTCATTAAGAGTATAAAATTAATCAGATAATTTCGAAAAACGTTATGAACAGTTTATAACAAACGTTTACTTAACAGCTTCAAACAGTGCACTATTTTAGCTTATTTTTGTTAAAATCGTATGGAAACGTATATTTATTTTTATAGGATATTTGCATTGAACTCTTTATAATGTATTGATATTTTTGAAGAATAGTATTTGCACTATGATTCTATAATTCTAGACTAATAAGCCCACTGACTAATAGAGAACTAATTTATTTGACAGAAATTATCTACATTTAGTTCTAACACATGCTCTGGCATATTGCTTAGCCGAATCCAGATGGCCAAGTGAGAAACTCTCTCCATATCCACTAGGTGGAGCTGTATTCTAACTTAACACTATTCCATCGTTAAAGTCATAAAATCAGCAGTGGCCATATGTGATCCAATTAAACTTCTTCAATTGTATTACAAAGCAACGTCAATTTTCATTGTCTATTGAGAATTAAATTAAAATTTCTGAAATCATATTTAGGAAACGTATCTCAAGAATTTTAAATATTAGATTCAGCTTTCAGTTACAGATTAAATTTAGCGGCTTTTATGAAACTGCTTTGTTTTATTACTGTAGAGAATTTAACAACAGTTTCATTTTGAATATTTCATGAACATTGACTCTTCAGATACATCACCCAAAAATTAATCGCATGTTTCACATTACCGCATGATTTTTGAAACACAAGATTTAGTTCATAAGAATCTAATTCATGAAAGATAAGAAAATAAAAGAAAATCAGTCTCAGATAATTATGATATAAATACATTAATCATAGTTCTAAACTGTAGATTATGTATGCCGTTATAATGCTGAAATAATATACTTTTGTTTCGAAGTCTGGTTCTATACCGTATATTGACAAGGGATAAAAACCAAATGTTTAAACAATTAATTTAGTTAAAACTTGAAAATTAAAATTTATGTTTGCTCTTTTATAAATGCGTAAAATCATTTATATGCCTCTAATGAATGCACATTAAATGAACTAATAAATTAATTAAACCAATAAAAATTTAAATATATAATTATAACAAAAATGTTAAATAAAATAACTTAAAAAGTTAGTTTATCATATATCCATGAAACGATGAGCAAAAGATGGAGTGTTGCTTTCCAGAAAAGTATGCAGGATCTAGCTTTCATCTTATAACTTCCACAAAGTCCAAAATAAACTTTCTCATTCCCTATACATTTTCAATTACAGACTGAATATTGGAGATTAATTATAACAAGGGTGTCGTACTTTAAAAGCCGAGAGAGAATTTTGATAGGGCCATCAACTCGAAACCGAAACTTGCAGAGAAGAAACAAAGCAAACGTCGACGATCAGATAAATAATAGAATCAAGCCTACAGCGCCCTCTTACGTATTCCGCCAAGAACCGTTTATGCGCTTCGATTCAGCGAGCAGAGTTTGGCTCAGATACCTTTCGACGAGAGTTGAGCTTAGATGTTTCGTTTCTGGACTCTCTTAAATTGAAAAGCTGAAATTTGCTTTAGCTCTAAAGAATTTTCTGAGGTGTTCAGATTAGATTTTTTTTCTTTTGAGGGCACATCTTCATTGGAAGAGAAATAAGGAGGTAAAAGAATTTTTTTAAGTATCTAATTAATATTATATTTAAGAAAACGTCAGCGTTTTGCTGCTGCAACAATGACAATTTTACATATTCTACCATTTCCTTGGCAGTGAAAGCTGAAACAATTTTCTGGCTACAAATGGTTATTTCGTTTTTACAAATAGAAGACAAAGCGCTGAAAATTCCGTAACAAACCCTGTATTGTTTAGGAAGTTATAAACGGTGAAGTTTGCAGACACATTTTAAATTTCTTCTTCAGCTTCAAATAAATTAATGAATAATTTAATTTGGTACTTGCATGAAGTATGAGTATATGGATTTTAAACAGGAAAAATTTCAAAGTAGACCAGCAGACTTGCATTGTCATTTCTGATATTAACAATAGCCATTATTTCAAATATGAAGGAAAACGTTACTATGAAAAATGAAAAGTTTTCTGAATCATTGAAAGAAAACAATGTTTACTGCAAGAGAATGAAATTATTTTCCTATTGATTGTTGAAAAATAATTTACCAGTAAGATTTAATTTGTTAAAATATTTAGCTTAAATGTATCAGTATATTTAATAGATAATTTTATTAACATAGTCACATTTCAAAAATTTTCTTAATTTGAAACTCACAGTTCATTTAATAATTGCATATCATTATTAACTTTAGAATGAAATTTAATCATTTAAGTAATCAACCAGAAATAAAAACTAGTGTACTCTTCAAAATTATATAGAAACAGAAAATATTACTATTTCCTGAATGAACTTAAAACCGTCGACTGAAAATTATGCTGGGTTTCTTAATAAATTTTCAAATTATTTTAACATCTGCTTGCATTGTCTCAAAAGAAAATATAGTAGTTTAAAGGCAAAATTATTTAAAAATTCGTCAATGTATCAAGCAGTCACTTTCGCAATAAAATGTCTCTTTCAAAAAAATTTTACTTTAAATTATTCGTAATAATGTATTTCATTCAGCAGTATTTCTCCACGAGATTGTTTTAGAAGATATATTTTGAAACAAACTGTTACACACTGCAGCTAATATTACTAAAAGGAACTATTACCAACTACAACTTATATTATTAATCTTCTGGCTTTCTTGAACTGTGTTTGAACTTTCATACGTATTCATTATTTGTGCATGACTATTTAATTTATGATCATACGCAAACTCATTTATATTTGTTACACGTAATTATCATCACTATGTAAATATTTATTTAATGGAGAATTTCGTATATAATTTTGAACTGCATTCTGATCTTTGTGAGCAAAATAAAGCAAAGAACTGATTTAATTCGAGAAGCAAATATTCCGTGTAGATTTGAGTTATAATTATGGCGGACTATGTGGATATGAATGAGACAATTTCCATACTGAATTCTACTTTAGAAGTTCCCGAGAGAAATGTATTTATACTTCCATGGTGGCAACAATTAGTTTGGAGTCTGATATTTGGAGGCATGATTTTCGTTGCTACAGGTGGCAATGTTATCGTAATGTGGATTGTGTTGGCTCACAAAAGAATGCGAAGTGTCACAAACTATTTCTTAGTGAACTTGAGTTTAGCGGACACAATGGTGTCCACACTGAATGTTATCTTTAACTTTGTATATATGCTGGACGGACACTGGCCCTTTGGAGAAGCCTATTGCAAGATATCGAACTTTATCGCTATAGTTTCCGTTGCTGCGTCAGTTTTCACTCTTATGGCCATCTCTATAGACAGGTGAGTAAAATTTTAATTAAGTATTATATGTTATTACAATAATTACTTTCCTTATTTTATTTATTTTGTTCTTTCTGTATTCAAACTTTTACAGAACTGTCTATATAATAAATTAGTAGATATCTAGGACAAACAGATATGTGGTATAAAAAATTATATTTTTCTAATGGCTTTTTCATGTTAAACAGTTTTTTGTGTTTAAAGAGATCCAAACATTCTTTAGATACCATTGAACGTCTTAAAAAAGAACTAGTTTAGTAGTGCACTATCACAAACCATGCGTCACATGATATACCTTAGTAAAATATAAAGTGATGTGCATTAAAAATGTTGTAATTTATTTACTATTACAATATTAAATCATATTAAACAGATATGTGGTATAAAAAATTATATTTTTCTAATGGCTTTTTCATGTTAAACAGTTTTTTGTATTTAAAGAGATCCAAACATTCTTTAGATACCATTGAACGTCTTAAAAAAGAACTAGTTTAGTAGTGCACTATCACAAACCATGCGTCACATGATATACCTTAGTAAAATATAAAGTGATGTGCATTAAAAATGTTGTAATTTATTTACTATTACAATATTAAATCATATTAAAGGATTTTAAAAATCCTTTTGGATGACTAAGTAGCTGATAAATAGTGGGAAAACCACAAAAAGCTAACATGATTTTTTTCATCTCACATTCGTTGCATAAAGAGCAGTATGCATTTATTTTTGCCCAAATAAGGCATTTGGTAATTTGTGCTATAATCCTTATTCATTATTTATATAATTTAATTCGGACAACCGAATATGGAATAAGTAATTGCTCTACAAAATTTGCGTTCATTTATTTAGATACAGAAACTGCAGTTAACAATTAAATTATGCAAGTCAGCAGATTTTTTTTCTTGAATTTCGTTAATTATTGCAGAAAGTTGTAATAATTTCAGTCTTTGTAGTTAGACTGAAATATTTGTCACTGTTAACGTCATTGAATATACATGTTAACTAATTTAAATTGATTAGTTTAAATAATAATTTAATGTATTTAATTGCATCAAGTGGATTTATTAATTTGTTCTTTAAAGTGAGATACAGCTTCTGCGCAGAAAAATATATTCTTCAGAAACTGTGGAAAATTTTACTACCAAATAATACTAAGTAGATTACTTTTACCTAATTTTGCTATTTTAACGGAGGAATGATGGATTTTGAAGGATGAACAGTTAAAAATTTTAAACAACATTTAAAAAATTAAAAATTCCTTAATATTAAAAATTTAAGTAAATTATATAGCATATTTTTGCTTATCTAAACATTCAAGTACTCAAAAAATCATAAAAATTTAATTCTGGCACTAAAATGTTCCATTTAATATAATGTACTGCGATTTTTCTCTCCTGTGTTTCATCCAAGGTTGCTTACGTGAGATGCTTCTAAGTACGTCACAGTTCTGAAAATACCGCCCTTAATCGCCAGTAGTTGATCACTACTTTGATAATAGTAATAATAATTTTTTTCCATAGCAACTTGTTGAACGTCCAGTATTTGTTATCACTAATTTAAGTATATGATACAGAGTTCTTTGTTACCACTTACTTTTAACCACTAATCTTCACACTATATTTATTTAACACTAAACCATTATTTCGTAATGAAATAAATTCACTGTTATACACATAAAAAGGTGAAACTACGCACTGACTTCAGTTTGCAATAATAAAAAGCTGCCTTAAATAAGATGCATAATCCGATGATGGTTGTTTATTCGGTTACTTTAATGAACGAACTTCAGTGGCTTAGTGTAAATCATAAATTTCCATCTATTCACTCATTATTCATTCCTGTTTATGATAATTAATTAAAACATTAATCCCATTTGGGGTAGGAAGAAAATTTAACCTATTTATTTTATGCTGTCACTTTTAACTTACAGTAATCATTTAGTGAAGTACATATGATGTGTACCCATATTGCAAATAGTGTATTGGTCTACATATAAGATGATCTTGAATTTTTGAATTTGCTTCATTCGTACAATTTAACAGGCAAGCGATAGTCAAATACATGTACCATCAACTGCAAATTACTTGATTATATAACCCTAGAGAGGTTTTCTAAGAAGTTTTTTACCAATATTTTAAGAAACCAATATCAAAAGCACAAAACACCTAGTTTTTGATGTTTTATCGGGAAAGTGTCCAGTGTGTATACTGCTTTGTTATTCAAAACGCTTAATATTTGCTTTTCCTTTTAAGTATATTTATAAATAAAAGATTTCTGCATAAATGTATAACACATTTAATAAATTTCACAGCTTAATGCAGATATTCTAGGGTAATATGTTCTTTTTGTATACGCCAAATTCTGATGGTAAGTATACATCTTTTTCTGCAAGCAAATATTTATGAATAATTCTTCAAGACTGATTAGTAATTTATGATAATTGTTCATTTTCTCCAGACTTCGTTATGAAAGAATATTCCATTATAAAATGATATAAGTTTAGATATTTATTTTTTAACTTATCTTAGTATTTCATAAGCTACAGAAATAATTTGCTAGACATTTTATCTTCCGCCACAATTACTCTATCCTAAGGCGGGTTAACGCGGTTTTTCATACTTAACTGTTATTACATATATCAGTTAAACACTACTTAATAAAGTTAATTTTATGATTTACTCTGAAAATGGTACTGAAGCGTGGAACTCACTTATGGTAAAAATGTAAGAGCTTTATATACCGAGAAGACTATTTTAGATGATGAAATTCAAAGAAAAATATTTTGCACTTTAATACTTGATACGGGTTGTCGATGTAAATAGATATTGTAACAGCTTTCTAATGGGAATGACATTTAGAATGAAAAACTGTATGTGTTATAATGACTTTATTCATTCAGGCACTTACGTGTCGAAGAGTGAAATACTTACTATAGCACATCAGATAACTTAAATGAATACATTTTCAGTCTATATATATTTTTAGCGTAAGTATTCACTATTAGTATTATACCACATAATTAAGGAAGATATTTAGGGTATTAAATCAATTTCATTTCAAATAATCAAAACGTTAACTTTATAAGTTTGAATTTAATCAAATATGCAGTAGTTTAAGATATGCCTTCAGAAAATGAAATGTTAGTTAACCGAACGCCAAAGTTTCTAATAATTATTTCTGAAGTACTTGCATAGCTTATGGTGTCCAATTCGAATAATATATTGTTTTATTACATTTTTATTGGCTTTAATTTTATTGTAATAAAACATAAACTTTATTACAATGAAAACATCGTTTATTTCGATGAAAAATTCATCAAAACATTTAAAAACATTACGGCACGAGCTCTGCTCCTCTGAAAGTTAGATTTTTTTGGCATTTAATTTTAAGAGAAAGGTTCTTATATCAATAATTCAGAAAATTTTTTTTTAAATACGTAATATGATGCTTGAAATTCACTTTCATTAAAGAAACAATTATAAGCAAAACAAACCGTAGCGTATTGTATCCCCGTTGGAGAGAATGATGGATGAAAACGTGTAGAGACAATTAGGTTATATTTTAGAAGCAGGAGAGATGAAAAATAAGCAACGCCGTCTCCGGGAATCGAACCACGGACCTCTGGAATACTTGCCCAGCGTGCAGATCACTACACCACGTAGACTCTCTAAGAAGGCAGGAGAATACCTTATATACTCTCCATTTTAAAGGGGAGATTGTTTTTTTTCTGGAAACCAAACGCCAAATCCTGGGTGGGGGAAAATCATCATCCACCACCCTTTTAGTTCGGGCGCCACTGTGGAGGCATTAGGTATTTTTTGAAAGCAAGAGTGATAAAAAATGAGCAACACCTTAGTCGAGCAACACCGAATCGCTGATCCCTGGAATACGCACCCGGCGTGCAGACCACCACACCACAAAATCATGCTAAGAAGGTGGGATAAATACCTCATATATGTAAAGATATATCACAGAGCGAAAATTAGAATTGATGATGTAAACATTCAAATACCGTTCCAATCGCTTTACAAGTAAAATATTAGAATATTCAAGGTAATCATTTTACAGTAGCTACTAAATTAGCGGTACAGGAACGCAGCCTGGTGTATCAGCTAAACAATAAAAGTTATATTTAGGCAGGAAAAATAATCAAAGCGTTAATTAAACTTTGAATGCATAAATAAAGCCATAATATATATGTAATATTTGTGTTGATAAGTCGATATAACTTAGTATAGAATTAGCTAGTAAGGCTAGGAAAGATGAAATCAATTTATTTTTAGTCATGGTCGAAATAACATTGCAGTTGATAGCTGTAATTCAATGGCAATGATTAATTGCGAAGATAGACTGATGGGTTTGCAGACAGAGGTGGCGGAATTTAACATAACTTTATTACTCGATAAAGCAGTTCTGTTGACACAATTTTTGCTCCACATGTGATTATAGGTGCAACAGACACACCATAATTTTGTACACGCAGCTTGCATTTTAGATACTAGAAAATGAAGTACAGCGAAGTGAGAGACCTGAGTTATATTGGTAGCAGCAGGCAAAAACGTGAATACGCACAAGGCAGCTAAAGATTTATACACTGCGAACGCTTTGTTTTAATCCTAAGCAGTGAATGGGCAAAGGTTTACAGCAATACGTTTACAGCAGGGAAAAGGCATATACCTTGAAGGGGGCTGTGCTTTTTAAAGGCAATTGCTAATTTGTTTCAATTAAGTTTAATTTGTTAACAAAATTTCCATCATATTTTTATACCTTACACACACACACACACGCATATGATGTCAATGACATGATGTCAACTAAATCACGTTAAGTTTCACAATACACAATACGCTATGCACCATATTGTCTACTTAGCATATCAGTTTTGCTTCTTGTTTTATAACATCAGTTAGTAAGGGTTATTTTAAGTTCTTAAGCTACTTGACATGATTTAATAGGCACAAAATAAGACTCTGACATGGCAGAAAATTTGAAATTGACTT